AATAGCCGCGGCTGTGAATGGAGAATGAAGTTGAATGGGACGGCTTGTCCGGCCATGTTGCCGAATGCGTTTTCGTCTCCGACAAGAAAAGTCTCCGAGACACCGAAAGGAGACTCCACTCGCCGTGTTGATTCCCGAGACATTGACTGGTTGGAGCTTATCTGTTTGGATCCAGGGGGGGTGTTATACGAATAGGGTGTTATACGAATATTGTAGGTATAAATTAATGTACATAGACACTATGCAAATGGACATGGATGAATATAACCTGTCGCTCTCAAACACTCCATATGAACCCTCCAATCAATTCATCTCATCAATCTTCGAAGATTTCCGTTTGCTTCGACGCCTGTGAGATCTCCGACGCTTCTTCCTTGGTTTCTGTTTCTCCCGCGATCGAATCATGAACCGAACCGGTTGTCCTAATCTCCCCTCTCTTGTCTGGAGCCTAGTCCTCAAGTTCATTTCCGTCGATATCCTCACAAGGGGAGAGATATACGACTTGTCATCCTTCGAGCGCGAGTATCGACGAAAATATCGCGGAAGATCAGACGATATGGTAACAGTCTTCCCTTTCCTCGTCGGTTTCTCGTCAGCGGGAACAGGATCGGAATCAGGAGGCGGCGTAGGATCTTTCGCATCAACTGGAACTTTGCGCGACCGTCGAGTCAACGCCCACGACTGCACATGACATATATAAAGATAATATAAGAGCAGTAGAAAGACCACAGCACCGAGGATAGACCCCGCTATTGCGCCTTTGTTTCCATCTGATAGTCTGCTGCTTGTGCCCGAATGGGTTTGCTCGGGTGTAGGAGTTTCTGCTGTGTTGACCACGTGGATGACAGTCGTGAATGGAGTTGTCGCTGTCCATGTAACCAAATTCAATGTTGGCCACGATCTGGTATTCCCCAAGGTGATGACTTTCACAAATGTTGTGTCCGCCTCAATTAGGGTCTGCGTAACCTCGCGAACAGCAGGTGCCATTTCCAGACAACAAATTGAACTGGCATGATGGGCTTAAGTGTTTATGGCAGCTTCACTTATTTCGCGCCACTAACACGTAGGGTATGCACGAGCGGATTGAACGGGTCTTCGAATTTATGTGATAAAGCAATTGAATTGGTGACAGTGGTATCTTCTGACTTAGTTATGCAGCTTACGCTGCGCAGTCATGAAACTATCACGGCGATTGGTGGAATCGTCTGCAAGTCGCATTGTGAGGCCAACTCACGGCGGCATCTTGGTGCGGGGATTCTGATGAGCACGTTATTAAAACAAACACTTGTGTGGGCTTTTCTTCCTCGAATACTACCAGGACGTCTCATGTTGCCTGACCTTTTTACTAAGGCGCCGAACACCCATGAATATTCGTTGGACAGACATGCAGCTTGATCTCCAATCAATTTCCTGCCCGAAGCAGAACGATCGCAGGTGTATGGTCGCCTCGCCCGCACGGATGAACCCACTGGATACTCGATAACGAGTCCTCGACTCTTCCACTTTCAGAGGGAACCAATACTATTGAACATATATGACATATATATAATCTCTATAAATTTACAGCTTCGCACGCGTAGGAGCAAAGTTCGACCCGGCACCCTGACTAATAGCCTCAACGATAGCATCAACGCTATTCAAAATCCAAGTATTCCCCTCATCACTAGCCAACCACCGCGCAGCCTCTTCCCCCTCAACATCATTCACCCACGAGCCATCCTCAATCGCCTTCCGCAACCCAAACACATGCGAAGTGACCTGGGGACCAACACCCGACTGAGCGCGCAGACACGCGACAGCAACAATAGACGTCAGAATGCGCCCAGCAGAGGCGCCAGTGCTACGCTCCGGATCAGACAACAGGGCACCGTAGTTGCTGTGCAGGATGTGCACCGGTAGGTCTGGGTGTGAGTCGGCCAATTTATTGAATAGTTTCTTCTCGAATGGCCGATAGATAGAATCCCAGAGTGCCTGACCGCGGTCACTGATCGCGGTGATGTTCTCCGGGGTTGGGGCGCGGGTGGGGGTGCGGGAGAGCTGATTGCCGACTGAATCTGGGAGGCTGGCTCTGAAGGCGTTGAGGCAGTTTATGGTTCGTGGGATACCGTTAAAACTAATGCATTTCAGACCGACTTCGCGCATAAGCTCGGCGGTCTCGACTTGTTTATCGGGGTTAGTGCTGGCCAGTTCGTAGAGGGCGGCGAGGGACTCCGGGGAGTTCATGGTCATTGTTGCTGCGGTCTTGCATTGGTGTTAGATCGTGTTTAATCTTCACTACAGGGATTGACTCACCGATAATGCGACCCATGATGGCTGCGAGATCTGTTTGGATTGCGCGGTCTGTTGGATCTTTTGGTAGACCGAGGTTATGTTTGCTGGTGCCGAGACGGTGGATGGCCGGGCGGCAGGGGCATTGATCAATGCCTTAAGGCTGGTTGAAAGTCTAGACATGTCGGATGATGAGTTATTTTGCCCTGGGTGTGGATGTTTTTCCATTAAAGAATAGGTGCTGGAGATCAATTCTCCTTCCGACCTCGGAAAGTTGGAAACAAACGGAGCTCAGAAGTGAACACCGAAAAATACCAGGAGGGGGTTCGTAATCTGACAGTAATTTTATCAAAATCTTACCGTAATATTACCAGTGGAGAATATGCCAAAATCCGGGGATCGCGGGGAAACTAAACTGCCGGAGGTGAACTCAATGGAAGCTCTGCCATTGGTGAAAATGGGGGCTGGAGAGGGCTCGGAAACTCGGACCCAGAAGTGCCGGCCGAAGGAGCTCCTCTCTGATTGTTTGTGGGCTATTTCTTGAAATTCTTTTCCTCTTTTTTAACCATCTTAAGCTACAACAGATTACTTAGGAGAATAAGATCATTTGTGCGTCGCCAAGCAACAATCCAAGCCATCATGGACCCACACAAGTCAAGAGTGACAGAGCTCGAAGATGCAAAATCATCGCCCCTCGATCGCCACGGCGACCTCGCGCATCAGCAGAAATTGACACGGAAAGTGTTGTGGAAGCTGGATATACAGTCAGTCCAGGCATTACAATCAGTAATTCGCTTGCTAATAGTTTCCAGTATTCTTCCTATTCTAGCACTGCTTTTCCTCATGTCATTTTTGGACAGAACCAATGTCGGCAATGCGAAGATTATCGGCTTAGAAGCGGACCTTTCTATCACAGACCACCAATACGATGTCGGCTTGGCTGTGTTCTATCTCACCTACATTTGCAGGTGCGTTATCTCCCATCGCATCTTCGCACCAGAGGCTAATTGATATGGAAGCGAGCTGCCGAGTAATCTCGTGCTCAAGAAAGCATCGCCGAAGATTTGGCTACCGTTCTTGACGGCTATTTGGGGAATCATCACCATGTGTTTAGGATTTGTACAGAATTTTGCTGGTTTCGTCGCTGTCCGGGCTTTGTTGGGTATTGCGGAGGGAGGTCTTCTCCCTGGCATGGTATGTTTCCAACGCTGTACGGAATTAACATTGGTCATTGCTAATGAGAAAAAAATAAAGGTCTTGTATTTATCTTCTTTCTACAGACGGGGCGATTTGGCTCTGCGGATTGGCTTGTTCTACACAGCTGCTTCCCTGTCGGGCGCATTTGGAGGTACATATACATCCATCGATTTCGTTTATATTTTGGCAGATACTAACGAATTAGGGCTTCTCGCTCGCGGACTGGCCGAAATCGGGCCCCGAGGGGGCATAGAAGGTTGGCGCTGGATTTTGATTATCGAGGGACTTTTGGTATGTGAAGGTATTTCGATTTAAACCAAAAAAATTGTCTGACTTTCAATTAGACATTTGTCTGTGGGGTGTTTAGTTTCTTCGTTCTTCCAAATAGCTTGGAGACTGCATCTTTCTTGACTCCGGAGGAAAAGGAATTCGGAGGGAAAAGGCTGATGCTTGATAGCCCCAAATCTCTAGAAGGGTAAGCTTTTCTGATCCACTGTGATAAAGCTTGGCTGACATCAAAAGTTCCTTGACACCTGAGGCAGAATCGTTCAGATGGTCCGAAGTACGTCGAGGCGTGTTGGATCTACAAGTGTGGCTATCTGCTTCGGCGTATTTTGCCATTCTCTCTGGACTATACTCCTTCGGCTTGTTTGTAAGGTTCTCCTATTTCTATGTCTATCTCAAAGTCACTGACAATCTTTTAGCTGCCAACGATTATCAAAAACCTCGGTTTCGCCAAAGATGCCAACGAGGTTCAGTTGTGGTCTGTGATACCTTATGCTGTCGCAGCTGTAGTTACAGGTTTGTCTTTTTTTGTCTTTTTTTTTTTTTTTTTGGTCTTATCAAATACTCACCCATTTTCTAGTTGTTGTTGCCATAATCTCCGACCGTCTCCGTCTGCGAGGCGTGGTGATGCTCTTCACTCTCCCAATCGCTATCATTGGATATGCAGTCATCGCCAATATTGACTCCCCTCGCGTTCAATATGGCATGACCTTCCTTATGGCAACCGGTCAATACGCCAGTGTACCGTGTATCCTAGTGTGGTTGTCGAACAACTCTGCGGGACATTACAAAAGAGCCACTACATCAGCGCTGCAGCTGGCAATTGCAAATGCTGGAGGATTTGTTTCGAGTAAGTCGTCCACATGTTGAGTTTATTTCGTTATACAGATCTCTAATATCAGTACTATAGCTTTCAACTATCCATCTCGAGATGGGCCTCTCTTTCACCGTGGACATACCATTATCCTGGGGCTGTTGGTGTTTGCATGGTTTATGTGGGTATATCTATTATCATTCACTCAAGAGTCACCGCTGATTTACATAGGATTCTGCTTAATGTGCTCTACTGCGCAAAGATCAATCGAGACAAAAGGAATGGTAAGTATGATCAATACGCGGGGTACAATGATGATCGTAACCCGGAGTTTATTATGGTGCTATGAGCGGTGACATTGATATCAAGTAGACGTAATTTACGTGCTCTATGGTTTATTATTTTGGATTGAACGTATTATTCTGCACAGATCGTGTTATACCCACCACTGCCACCAGTGGCGAGGCTTCCAGTCCTGCTTAGTTGCACCACGTAGATCATCTGTATTTAACACATCCACACCCTCGTGCACCAGTACATGCCAAACATGATCCCGCAGTCCAATTGGCCAGGTGGGAGTTCCCCAATACCGTACCTTCAATCCCAACTCATGAGCAGCATGTATCTGCCTCCGAAGAATAGCAAGCTGAGTATCCGACAGACGGCCAAGAGAGAGAGGCCCAATATCTTTGCGGAAATCCGTTGATGCATAATAGCTATTGGATGGGTTATAGGTGGAATCCATTATTTTGTTGTAATCTGCCGTTATTCCAGTGGAAAATGTCAAGTTGCCAAGAGGTGCATCGTAAAAGATGTCGCGGTAGGTCGAGTTCTCGACGATCATATGCAAAGGCGCATCTCCACCAACGACGACAGTAATTGGGCCGTACACAACATCCGAGCCATTGAAGTGAGTCAGGTAGCCCTTTCCACGCAACGGATTCAGCTGTTCAACAAGAAGAGGCCAGGTCCGATCACCTTCGGTTTTGCAATTAATGAGCAAGGTCAGGGTCTGTTTTGGGTCATAGGAAAACAATCCGACCATTTCCTGACTCGTAACTTTCGACCAGTTGCGAGAAGGAGGTGCATTGTGTGTGTTGAGCATGTTGAGTAGCGGGTCAAGATAGAGGCTCTGTAGGGTTCCCCGGAGGACTGTGGAACGTGAATGGCCTACTAGTATATCACTTCCCCATGGCCAGACGTCAACCTCGACGCCGGTACATCCCGCACGAAGTGCTGAGAGTAGGGGAATATGACGCCAGTAGTCGTTGTGCGAGTTGCATGGTACGGGGATGACGCCGTAGTTAGACCAGTTGGAAAGACTCGAGTGGCGTTCACCGGGGAAAACATCCAAGGCGAGATCATGTTGAAAGACATAAAGGAAGCATTGCCATGCAAGAGTGAGGATGCCACTGAAGTGAGACAAGAAGTGAGACAATGTTAGTTTAAGTATCGCGTGGCAAGTGTGGAGAAAACACAATCAAACAAGCAACAAATATGTAGACTATAAAACTGGGTACGCACAGAATGAATATAAATGCTCGGAGAGGTCGCTGCACTGCTCGACAGAGAATGGCTCTCTTAGAGCGTGGATATGCAATACAGTCCGGGTGAGAGCATTTCCAGATCGAAGAGGGAGACTTGTATGGAATGATTGGCTCCATTAGCACTGCTTGATTGGAGAATAAGATAGTTTCATTCTCTGGAATTGGCATCAGACCATATGGATAAAGTGCCATGGTGAGATAGAAAGGTGAAGTGAAGTTTTTTTTCTCAAGGCTGGGCATATGTAAGCTTATTTTATCGCGTGAGCTTTGTTTGAGCCTAATCTCCTCCGACGGTGGACCCCCTGTTTCGCGGATGCCTATGGAAGAGAAAAATAATAAAACAATATTTCTGCCTAATTGATTTCAGAGTCAAGGGCTATCTAAGTATCTACAGAAGATCTGACCTCTTTATTCCATAATTTCAAGGGTATCAGCAATAGTAAACTCAGCATCCGTCTTACTCTGCACCTCTTCCACCTCAACACCCGGAGCAAGCTCCGTCAGTGTGAGCTTCCCAGTAGCTCGATCCACCTGGAAAACACACTATACTTTTGTTAGTTTTGTTAGAAAATCAACTAGACTTTTCGCCACTTACCAGGTCGGTGATGATAGTGCTAACAACGTTGGCACCAGTCAATGGCAGACTGCACTTTTGTACAATCTTGGGTGATCCATCTTTCGCGACATGACTCGTGGCCACCACAATCTTGGTCTTTTCCGGGTTCGAGATCAAATCCATTGCTCCTCCCATACCCTTGAACACCTTGCCGGGGATCATATAGTTGGCCAGGTCGCCATTAGCACTCACCTGCAGAGCGCCGAGAATAGACACATCTACATGACCTCCGCGGATCATGCCAAAGGACTCAGTGCTGTCGAATGTGGCGGCTCCGGGAACCAAGGTCACGGTTTCTTTGCCGGCATTGATGATATCGCTGGTCTGAGTTAGTGAGAGTTCGGGTCACCATAGGGAACAACTTACGGATCCAATTCTTGCTCGGTGGGATAATTACCCTATATATTGTTAGACTAGCCCGTGGAAACGACTTAAGGAACTTACCATTCCCAAAATGCCATTCTCCGACTGAATCCAAACCTTCACATCTTTGGGAAGGAACGACGGTGCCAACGTGGGAATACCAACACCCAAATTCACATAGAATCCCGGCTTAAGCTCCTTGGCCGCCCGACGACCAATGAGTTCTCTTTGAATCTGAGCCGCGTCTTTAACAGGCCCAGTCGCAGTTTCCTCCGAGTGCAACTTCTTGTTTTCAATGTGCTTGTCGTCCGTGGCAGGAACGATCCGATCCACGAAGATACCCGGTAGGTCCACATCGTTGGGGTCAATAGAGCCAACTGGAACAATGTTCTCCGCCTCCACAATGGTCAGGGTCGCAGCCTTGGCCATGATAGGGCCAAATGCTTTGGTGGTGTATCTATTCAATGTCAGTATCCAGGTTCTACCTAAGGACGTACTGATAGGTCATATATACTCACCGGAACACGCAATTACCAGCCTCGTCCACCTTCCAAGCTCTGAGAATAGCTACATCTCCCGTCAAGGCTTCTTCCATGAGGTATGTCTTGCCATTGAAATCTCGGGTCTCGCGCGGCTTGCCGGACTCCAGAACTTTACCAGACTCATCCATGCGGACGGGGATCTTTCCCTCCTGAATAAAGGTGTCTTCACTTGTCAGCGACAACCATACTCTGGGTCTGTGGAGGATCTATACATACGAGCTCCCGTCGGGGTAAAGAAAGCCGGGATCCCAGCACCTCCAGCACGGAGACGTTCAGCCAAAGTACCTTGCGGACAGAGTTCAATAGCAATATGTCCCGTAAGATATTTCTTCTCCAACGATTTATTATTTCCAAGGTATGAAAGGATCAGACGGTTGATCTGGCCGTTCTGCGAGAGTGTCGAAAGGCCTCCCTTGCCCGCGGAGCCGGCATTGTTCGAAACGGCTGTCAGAGAGTGTAATTTATCAACACCTCGGCGGCGCATAGCATTAATGAGGGTTTCTATACTGCGTATTAGCTTTGTTACCGCACTAGTTGCTCGTTCACGTACCTGCGACCCCGCAAAGACCGAACCCAGAGCTAAGGATTGTCGATCCACTCTTGATATCGGCGACTGCGGCATCGGCATCTTTGAAGACTTTGGAACCTCCTCGCTCAATCTTAGGTGCGAGAGATTGTAATGGTGCGGTTATGGAGTATCTAGTGTTGGTGCTGGTACTGAATGGTTGCAAGGGGCGCACGCTGGCGCGCACTCCAAGGAAGAGTCGAGGTCGACAGGTAGCCAGCGCTTTGCGCGACAATGTAGTGGAAATCCTAAGAGCCGTCATGTTTAATAATTGTTTAGACAAAACAAAAAAAAAAAAATCGAAAATGAGATCATCGCGCAATTAAAACATTCACGGCATCGGCTAGTCGGGGCTACTTCTGGATGCCGACCGGCCACGCACGGAAACCCTCCGAGCGGAGCTTCTTCTGATCTTCGACTTCCAGGGTTATTCTTCTATTCGTCTTTTAATTTCCGATTGAATTCCGATTGGATTCCATAGCTTACATGAAATATATACAACACTCCCATTGGTCTAGCTCGTATATATTCCCTCTGATGTCATAGGTATCCAGTATACAACACCAAATATAACCCGCCAAACTAGATGTCAACAAAAGAATAAACGAAACCCTTACTTAACCCATCAACTGCTCCTTAAATCGACTCATATTCTCCTTGATACCACCACGTTGCCTCCGACCATCACTCTCCTTTGTCAAAGTATCGGCATCGGACCCCATTGAAGACTTGGGCGAGCCTGGGGCTAGGGCGCTCCAGTCGAGGACCATTGTGGTGTTTTCTTTGAGGTGTTTGGAGTTTGTGCGTATCAATGTGATTTATGTTATAATTGATCACAGCAGGGATTGTGTATGAAATCGATGCTGTTGAAGGGGCGACTTCTTGATATGCTTCGGAGAAGGGCGATAACGTTAGCAAAGATGGCCAGTGATGATCTGTCGGATCTGCAGAAATCTCGGGGAAATCAGTGCCTTGTATTTAGTATGGGAGGCGACTGAGTAACTATCGATATGTACAAGCTAGCAGTATAAATATGTTCAGAAAACAAAGGTTAATCGAATAAACGCAAGAAACATAAAGAATGGGGTATGCAAATATCCACCTCCTGGCCCTACTAAAAATTGAAATCCGAATTGGCAACATCAAGCCAATCCCAGTTAAGCATATCATCAAGAGGCACGTCCGGGATAGACGCACCAAACGCGGTACCCGCTCGATTGACCGCGTCGACGATCTGATTATCAGACATGGCAGAGAATTGCAATGGTTCAAACCATAAATCCTCGGGTGGTAGAGTTACTGACAGCGGACCATGATCCAGGCATGAAGACGGAAATGCTGGCTCAGGTGGATGGACTCTGTCTGGGTTGCCTCGGGATTGTAGAGGCAAGGTCGGTGCACGTCGGATCAATTCACGTAAGAATCTCCCGTAAAGCACAGAAGCACCGCTTCTGTGACTTGGTGTTGCTCCGATTCTCTCTAGGACACCGGCTGTCTCTTCGATGAGATTTCGCACGCTTGGTGCCAGGCTGGATCTGCTGTCGCCGGGTGTTACGCTGAGGCTGAGGGCAGAGCATGCGGCAAAGGAGATCATTATCACTGTATTATTTGGCATTGATTTTAGTCGAGATTCGCCTTGGATGGCTGCTCGCAGGACGTTCAATGCAGATGATAGACCAGCGGCTCGGAAGAAACGTTTGACTTCAATTGGGGCTGTTGGGTGATTGATGACACCACCGTAGGTGGATAACTGCGTATGTGTGACCAGAATCTCGACATATGGAGGCAAGAATCGTGCTGTGAATGGTTAATGTTTAGTCTATTAAATTTTAGGCATTAGGCTTACTGTCTCCTTCGCCAATTGACAAGGCCCATGTTGCATACCACTGCTCGTAGAATGTTTGAATGGTTCTCTTAATCCTATAGTATGGTCAGTATATAAATGATATTTATCAAAGGCATAATAGCATACGAGTGAGCAGCTTCCGAGCCAGTATCGACAAAGCGATAACTATCGCAGCTTGATTTAACTTTCTGAAAGAGTCCATCCTACAACCGTTAGAATTGAATTTAATAGCATGCTGCATGATATGGGTGTTCGTAATGCGATTTGGAACGGGACTCGGGATAGCACCTACAAGGTCCCTTCGAAGAACTGCCATGGAATTCATGGGACCGTCACGCGGGTCTGCGATATTGGACAGGTGCCAACGATCGCAATTTTCGATGAGCGTTGTTGGAGGTACCGTATAGCTTCGTCCACGCGCAAGACAGACACTGAGAAAGTTAGTGTCAGATCCAGATGTACTACTAGAAGAATCACACGTACCCCCTCTCCACGACATACAACGCAATCCAGGCTCTTTCACGTCTTCGAAGCAGCCTGAGGCCCCACTCTGAAGACGGATCAATATCATCAAATCCATCCATATGTAAAGCTCTCTTGGCATCAATACACTCTGCTCGTGCTAGGCGATTCATAACTTCTTGGTCAAAGCTTGAAGAGGGTGAGACAATCTTGTTCAAAGATAAGTCTAGAGCAACAGTGAGAGCCATGGCAATATAGGAGCAAGTATCATCGTCTCCTAGTCTATCACCAGGGGACATCCACGGAACGTTCACCATGAAAGCCAGAACAATCTCAACAGATCTATAGCGGTGTGTGAACACCCGCCTCGCGAGCCATTCGCAGTGCCTCGATAGTCTCTTAGATAAAGCAGCAGCAGATGGCAAAAATAGGGCTGCGCCTGCCATTATCGAAGTAAAAAGAAAAGCCGACTGGGACCGTACGAACGAGGCGGTGTGTATCAAAGGATCGAGACCCCATCGTGTATGTGCAAGGTTTTGGTAGAAACTTGATCTGTCAGTTATATATGTTTAGCAATGAAAAGACAAACCACTTACAATGAGAACAAGGACTCCGACTCATCAAATGTAACTAAGCCCAGTTCAATAGGGTCAACTTCAGGCCCAACGTCAAGGTTTGCTCTCGCAGGAACAAAAAAGGACTTGGCACTCGGTTCTCCTGTCGGGGTGCTCTGAAGGAACGATGGAGCCTCCGACAATGGCAATGGAGACTTTGGCGCACGCCGCATGCCGGTGGGCGAAAGTTGAAGATCCGAAGCTCTAGCAAGCAACTGGAGAGGATTCTCTGCATCGTCAAGAGCGAGACTCTCCTCCGCATGCATATCACGTGGAGATGCCATGCGCGGGTGGTCTGATGTCTCTGAAAAGCCACGCTCATGTCCATGCTCATGGTCATTCTGCATTAACTGGCCCTGGAATTGACCAAGGAGGTCCTGGAGGACTGAAACGGCTCTTTGGGCCTCGTCACTAGAGTCGACCTTGGGCCGCTTGATTGCCTGCTCGATCTGATGTATCGCTTTCTCCAGACCTTTGCGTTTACTAGACTCCGGTCAATATTTTATTCCACAACGCCTTCATTTGACTCACTTTTTAACACCCTTCTGTCGGCCCAGATGATGGTTTGGCACAATACACTCCGCACTGGTCTGTTTACATTTCTCGCAGCTGGACTCGCCTGCCTGGCGGTTGCAGCGTATCTTGCTCCGCCGACAGTTCAAGCATGCAGCTTGTTTTCCTTGCGGGCTGGAGGCTGAACCTGCCGATTCGATCTCCATGAGTAAATGATTTGACCTCGGCCATGGACATTAAGGTCAGGAAGGTGCGGGAGTCGGGTTGGTTTACTAGTCATGTTTTTGCCCTTTTGCCTTATGTAGCATTATATCGCACACTCCTTTAACAGCCCGGCCGGGCTAGCTCAATCGGTAGAGCGTAAGACTCTTAATCTTAAGGCTGCGGGTTCGACCCCCGCGTTCGGCTATTCCTAAAAACCAATCCTGAGATTTTTCTTTTGGCTCTTTCATCTTTTTGTATTTTTTTTTTTTTGAACGATGAAACGGATGTGATGCAGTCGAAGTATGGATATTGGGTAGACGCTCCTAAGTTGTATATCGGTCTCGGACTGGACAAGAGCAGGGCGGTATTTAAGGTAGTCGCCGCCGAGTAATTATTGTGAACTTCGGTGATATTAGAAACGTCATCTTATGCTTGATTTATTGGTATTTGCAGTGGCCAAGCATATGCACGCATCGAGTAGCGAGTGAGTGATATCAATTAAAGATTAGTCGCTAAATACAAGCTCTAAAACAACAAGGTCGTTGGTCTTTCTGTGACCTATCAACGGAATGCGAATATATATATAACCGAATCTAACGCAGCAAACGGCCACATACCAACCTTCAATCAAGCATAGCGAACGGGACCAGATTCCTCGTCATGACCAGCTGGCAGGGGACCAGATGCCTGTGAAAAGGCATGAGGCTGAGGCTGAGCCTGAGGGGCAGGAACCTGACCCACCTCAGGACCAGCACCCGGAGCACCTTCCGTCGATGCAGCCCGCGAAGGCGCATTGGTACCGGGAGGAGTAACATCCAACAAGCGCGGACCAGACTCAACAGGTCTCTTGTTTGCCTTGACAGTCGCAGGTGCCGGACCCAAGACAGTCGGGTACTTGAAGCGGAAGCCCCAAGCGAAGAAGAGACGCATCTTCGTCCAGAAACCCATTGCATCCCACCTCTTCTGCAGGATCTCGGCGTCCTCTTTGCTGCGGGCGCGGTAGCCCTTTCGGAAACAAAACAGACAGAAAAGAGAAAGAGGGAGCAAAATGAATGACCAGAAAAGAGGGAAACCACGACGGGTCTGCCAGCCCGTCATGAGACGACGGAATCGCACCCAGGCTTCGATCATGCCCAGGATGAAAACTATGCCGATCCAGCCCAGGCCGCAGATCAGAACAATTGCTAGGTAGGAGATACCAAGGCCGGATCCCCATGTGCTGGTGAACCAGTCGTAGTCGTCATCGTAGCCATAGTTGTAGTAGCCATTGCCACTGCTGGATGTTCCATCGGTGTACTGAGTATCTCCTGGTCCGTCCGACAAGCCGGTATAGTATCCCGAGTTGCCGTTATAATCGCTGCTGACGCCTGTGTATTGGCACCCGGAACCTATGTACCGAGAGGTAGGGGTGTTGTAGAGACTCAGAGAGTCCAGAGTCTTGCTGGGGATTTGGGTGGGTTCCACGAACACCACTTCGTAGATGTAGGTCGTAGGCTCGAATGGCTGGCTGTTGTCGACCGAGGTCGAGGTTACTACATTATCCCTGGGTAGCAAGGTCGCGATCCCATAGGGAGGGCGGACTCTGGCAGCGGTCGTGGTGGTCCATTGAGTAGAGCAGGCCGTTGGGGCCGAGAAAGTCAGGTTGACCTTGTAGATGGTGCTATGATAGGTTCTGTCACTACCTACGGCGTTACGGTAGCCATCGTATGGGTCGGGCTCGTCGCCATAGCCAGTGGGATACAGCTTTTCGACAACGGTGTAGTCATAGATGGTATTGGTGGAAGTAACGGTGGATAGGGCCTCGACTGGCAAAGTTGCAGTTGGAGAGATTTGGTTAACCTCGGTGACCAACTCGGAGTAGTAATCTGTATTAACCGCTTGTTCATAGGTATCGGTCACAATCCAAGGGGCGGCTTGAACGAATGGTCTCAAAACGAGCGACAAGAGAAGAATCAACGAGCGTGAAGGCGCCATCTTGAATGGTCCTTTGGGATTGCAGGGGAAACAGCCAAGAACAAGGCATCCATTGCTTTATAAAAAAAAAAAAAAAAATTTGATAGCGCCTCATGTTCGAAGACCCTTATTTTTGGTCAATTTGGGGGCGATTTGTCGCCTAAGCTATACTGGTTCTTGCTCGGGTGGAAATTGCCTGCATTAAAGTAGGAAGATGCTCGAGTGTGATTGGTGATGTCTCTCAATTTGCCAGAGCTAAGTGGACAAGTCTAGTCTGTTTACGATCTAGTTAAACACCCTAGACTTTTCGCCTCATGTTTTTACACGAACTTGTCTCGTTTCTTTGTCTTTTGGTAGGCGATGACACAGAATTGGACTAGCCTCATGTATGAAAAAAGAGAGAAATCTTCGTTGAATACGCCTTGTCAAGTATATAACAGCGCAGAAAATAACAGCACAGAAAGAAATACAAGCGTAACTTCGTGGATCGTCAGTGTGTTGCAAGGTCCAGAGATCGCAAGGAGTCTATATGGGGGGTTGACAGTCCCTTAAAATCCGGAGTACCCAGGAAGGGAAAACAGAGAGAGGGGGAGAGAGAGGGAAGGAACACGAGCACTGGCTCAATTAGCAGCCCGTAAAGCTCGTAGCCTTGCACCCAAACCATCCTCCACCTCGGCATCCACCTGCTTAGGCTCCTTAACCTCCTCCTTAGGCGCAGCATCCGCCTCGAGGTTCAGGCGCATATCAACACCCGCATCATCTGCCAGTTGTTCCATGAGCCGATCAACATCAGCCTCACCCTCCGCACCATATTCCTGCATCGATATACCCTGCGCGACATCCTCGATCGCACTGCTAGCAATCTTAAAGTCCTCCGACCGAGCGAGGAAATTGTTAGCGTGAGAGACGAGATGCTCGAGGTTGACGCTCCGTGAGGCAGCGTCCAGGCCCCGTGATGCCATGGCGAGCGTCCGGGATGTGTCGCGGGTACTTTGGGCGGCCTTTAGTTCGTTGATGATGACATCTGCGCGTGCCGCTTCGGATTTGAGTGTCACTTGGCGTCGCTTCTCGCGCACGGCGGAGGCGGCGTGAATGCGGGCGATCTGGAACTCGCGGTTCTTCATCGCTTTGTCTGCCTTGGCCTTTTCGGACTTGAAGGTTGCCTCCGCTCGGACAGCTTCTTTCTTGAGTCTGTTGGAGTGTAGCTGGGAAGATAAGATTAGCAATGGTTTCATGCATAGGCGGGGTGATGCACGCTGTGAGGAGGGGAAACAGAGTGCGGGGAGACAACTTACTTTGACATTTGTGCGGGCTTCGAAGATAGGGTCTTTGCGAACCATGGTGTCGGTTAGAGATATTATAGAGGATGAGGATTGCAGGTGTATTTGGGTGTTGTGGAAGGCAGATGGATTTGGGGGCGTGTGGCAACGTCACTGACCGCATTCAGTGCATTCTTAGCGTCCCGAGGTTGGTTTTATTTTAGCAAGTCGAGATTTGATACGCTGAAACAATATCTCTACTTTTGAAATAGACTAAGTCTATATGTTGGACTGTCGCAATTTTAAAAGCATTAGTTGCGACAATACTACATGTACTATTACGTCTCGAACATAATTGCAAGATGAGCCAGTCGATGTTGCATTATAAAAAAAACTAGTATACAGGCCAAAACAAATTGGAACCCTCAGCGCTGTTTGCCCATGAGCAAGGATGAAAGAGCCTTGCTCGCGCTAGAACTCCGGAAACTCCGTGTACCTCGATGCATCTTTCCATTACTGCGTTGCCGACCGGATTTCATTGTGTTTCCCCGCTGGTGTCGTTTAGACAGGCTGAGACTATCGATTGCCCAGGCCATGGTTAATAACGACTCCCAACTCGGTCGAGCCTCCGAGGCGCCAGCCGACCAGGTCTGCGGGGAGAAAGTCTCACTAACCGCTAGCTGCAATGCTCTGCCCGTCGCATCTCGAAGTGGACGCGCCAAGGCTGGGCTGCAAGCTAGTAGTCTGGTGAGAAGTCTCATCCGAAAGACCGGACGGTTGGACGCCTTCGAGGACGACAGACTCGGGGTCGAAATCAACCATAGAATCAAAGGGAAATGCTGATAGATCTCCTCCGTCGAGAACGTCAAAGGCAAACCCGTCTTCAGGGAAAGAAGGATTTGGCTCAGCGGGTGAATCACCGTGGAACAGGCGACGGAAGTCATCGTCAGAAAGAGGAGCTGCAACGTCATTTGCAGCTTGAGGTTCGGCGGAGAGGTCGAAGAGGGGTAGGGCGCTTCCAGATCCTTCGAGGCCAGCGACGGACACTGCAGGTCACACAACACCGCTGCAGGATGTTGTGTCGCGTCGGAGGCCTCAGCCAGAGTGGAAGGTTCGAGGGTAGGAGAGTAGTCGGTAACGGAGGGAGTAGGGAAAGGAATCCGTTCCATAGGAAGTTCGTCGCCTTCTTGTTTGAAGAGGGTAGGTGTGAGGGTGGGAGATTCGATGGCGGGAGAGCTAGCCTTGGGAGTCACACTACGAGATCCACGGACCTCGGCGGAGAGCTTAGCCACTTGTTGGCTCAGACGGTTGTTTTCCGTCTCCATCTGTGATAGACGCTGGATCAGGAACTGGTTTTGTTGCTCCATTCGGATCTTTTCGGTCTCGAGTTTCTCCATCTCGAGACGCTTGCGTTCGCGTGATGTTTGAGCAGCAGCACGGTTCCGGAGGACCCGTTCTATTCGGCGCTGCTCCTTCTCATCATCTGTCTTGGCGCGTTTTCTAAAAGAGTCAGCGGGGTTCAAATATGTGAAACAAGGTGGATAACATACCTGGGAGGGAGATTTGTTTTGGGGGTTGGGAGTTCTTGTCCCCAAGACTTTCTCTTCTTTGTTGGCTTCTTCTCGTCATCTTCATCCTTAATATCATCTTCGGGCTCCGGAGAGTCTAATGATGTATCCGCGGGGGAAACTGTGTACATCTCTGGGGATGGTGAGGCTGGGAGAGTATCCAACGGGTTGATAGTATCCGCCATGGTGACAGGGTCAAATGGATAACCGGTGCCGGACGTG